CAGCTTTCTTTCCCCCAGCCTGAATAAGCCCAACTCTCTCAGCCTGTCCTCACGGGAGAGGTGCTCCAGCCCCGAATTATTTCAACCTGTCTGAATGTCAGCGTCTGGGATACAGTTTGCACCCAACTCGTTTCGCAAACAGCAGCGTACATCTCAGTTTGCCAAGCCAGAGAAAAGGCGGAGGTCGGGTTGCTGCTCTGCGTCAGAGATGCTCACTCGCTGACCACCAGCCCAACCTGCAGGACCAGCTGAGCTCAGAAGCCAAACATCCCCAGCAGGTCTGGAAGCTGGTGAAGCAAGCCTGTCACGTGTAGAAGGCCGGTTTTTTCTCTCCTTTCAGTGCACTTTTCAATCATTTGCAGTTCACAAATAAATAGCTTCAGGCCTAACGATATAACGATATAACCTGGGCTGCCATGCCCAGGACCCAAGCCAGCACACTCTGCAAGGGCACAGCTACAGGTGCACAAGGTGCAGAAGCTGATCTGCATAACAGCTCTCAGGCTTACTTCACTGCAATTGCTCAAGGAAATACATTTGTACTTACTTGGGTCACACGTTGGTAGAGGTGGCTTCCAAGTACCATCTGCTTCACAAGTAACTACACTGCTGCCGTTCATGGAATGGCCAGGATCGCACTCAAAGGTCACTGTATTTTTATATGTGTGCCCAGCGCCGAAGCCAGATAATCTTTTTGCATTTTTCACTTCTGGATTTTCACATCTGACCTCTGGAAGGGAAGATAAGACAATAAGAACATGTATTACAAGAAGGAAAAGCCCTACAGTGACACCAGAGGCATTACGCTACAAGACCTGCCGCCCTCCCACTCTGCGAGAGGCAGGTCCCCAGTGGGGTGCAGGGACTGCGTGAACAGAGGCGTCGTTAAGAACTGCAGACACGAGAGCTTCGTTTGCAGGAGGCCCTCGGCATGGGCAGGGAGAGGGATGTTTTCTGTGGGCTGAAGAATCCACTAAAACAAGCCCTGTCGGAGTTTAACCTGGCAGCCCAGCACTGGACAGCCGCTCGCTCACCCCTCTCCTTCCCCCAGCAGGACGGGGTGCAGAAACAGAGCAAAGGGGAAACTCGTGGCTTGAGATAAAGACAGTTTAATAAGGCAACAAAGGAAATACCAGTACTGCTGCTACTACTAATGATAACAATAATGATTATGCATACAAACTATATACAATACAATTTTTCTCACCGCCCAACAACCGATCTGCCGCCTGTCCCCGAGCAGAGATCACGGACCCCCTGGATTTTCACAAGTTTCACAGAATACCAGGAAAAGGCCAAACTCCCGGAACAGAGAGGATTCAAACTCCTGGAAAACTAAACAGCCAGAAGCCTCCTGCCCCCCAGCCAAGCCCAGTCACGAACCGAGCATGACCTCTCTGGCGTGGAATATTTCCATCGGCCAGCCTGGCCACCTGCCTGGCCATGCTCCCTCCAGCTCCTGCCCACCTGCTCATTAGCTGGCTCTGAGAAACTGGAAAAAGTCCTTGATTTACAGCAACAACCGAAAATATCAGTGTTATCAACATTCTTCTCCTACTAAATCCAAAACACAGCAGCTACTGGGAGGAAAATTAACCAGGACACCACAACTTGGGAGATCGCTGAATTAAGCTTTCTGGGAATCCTTCTAGACTC